GCTCTAGGAAGTTGATCCCAATTTCTTTCCCCTGCTGCAAGACCCTCTATCTAGTACAAGAGCTCTTAATAAAGTCTTCCTCTCCAAAAACAAACAACAACAACAACAGAAACCAATAGTATCCCCTAAATCTTTCGTTTAACATTTTCTCCTGTAAACGCCATACAAATGAGACTATGCACTTTGTTATTGTATAATGATAATCCACATTATTTGATTCTTTAAAAGTAGATATTTCCATAGTGCCAAGGATGGAAAGTTTAGACATCTTACATTTAACGTAAGCTTCGCGAAGACTAACAAGGGATAAATGTCCAAATATCTCAATGAGAAACTGACCCCGGTCTTTGAGTGAAAAAAAAAAAAACAAAAAACCCAAAACGTCTATATTAAAATAACTTCGCTTGAGTTCTATGGAAGCAGGCTAAGGTTTACATAGGAACATTTCATATTTTTCTTGTCCTTAATGAAATGTGTAAACGTTCTAATGAAGTATATATCCCAGCCCCATTGTTCAAACTGAAGAGATTTGGAAGATTTCCTAGGGTGATTTTCCTCAACATCCAAATCCTGATATCCCTGTTTCAGCCACAAGGAGGACAAGGGAATAACTGTGGATGTTTATAAGAAGGATAAGCTAAAGAAACAGAAATAACCTATACCTTCTCTAAATCTTTTATTTCTTAATCAAATACATGTAGCAGTGAGATGTCTAAAAGAATAAAGCTTCTCTTTTATATCTCTAAATAGAAAATATAATCCAAGTCTGTTTTTCTGCGGGATGGCTTTCTTAAATGAGCAGAAGGATGAATTATGTGGCTGTAAATAAATCTACTGACATAATAAAGCAAACCTGGACTGTTTTATGGTGTCACTGGAGCCCCTGGATATATTTATAGCCATCTTAACAGTCACCTGTATTTTTTCAGGAATTTTCTTTCATTTCCCATTATGAGAATTTAGTTGTTATTTGGATTTGTATGTGTGTGTGTGTTTTGTTTTTCTCTCCCTCAGTTGCCTTTTAGAGTCCCATAGAGAGAAGGAAAATAAGGATTTTTCTACTCTTTGTTCTTGGAAAGAGAGCATCCTCCCCTAAGAGCTTAGGTGTCACCCAGACACTGGCTGTTCTGATGCTTTCTGGGCTTCCTGCGTCTGCGCAGTCATCATAGACGCGCCTGCAAAGAACAACTTGACAGGTATCTCCTGCCGGCAGCGAAGTGGCAAGTCAGAGTCTACACAAATGAGAGGAGGCCTGAGCAGAGACAGAATGTACAGTATTGTGAGAGACAAGACAGCAGACAGGGCAACTTCGCACCAGGATCCTGACGCCTGGCACGTTTTAGTACAATCACCAGGCTTATGTGAGAAGCCAAAAGATTCCCTCCCACTACCTGATAGCTGAGGCACAGGCCAAAACAAGACGAAAGGTCGGGTGGGTAAAGATTCTCATACTTTACCTTGGACATTCTCCTGGGGGATGCAGTCAGGGGAGCATTAAAAAAAAACAAGGAGAGGAAGTCTATAAATCCAGATCATGAAGTCTGAAGTACAAGACGATTTTTCACTTTTTAATTTTTTAACTGCATTCCATTTAGAAATTTCAGGATCCAAAGAGTATGGTTAGGATTACGTGGGGGTTTATTCAAGGATGGCTAAGTGTGGTTGTTCCCTTGAAATTATTTATACTTTACAACGTTAAATTTGGGTGAGCACAGATAACGTTTCTAAATCTATTTCTTTTCTATCTTCCAAGTGGACTCTCCTGTTCTTCCTGTAGCCATGCACTTGATTCCTAAGTATTCCCTCTAAAGGGACCCACCAGAGAGGGTCCAGCTCAGGAGGAAAGAGGGGAGCTTTTGATGGTAAGAGGAGATGGCAAGTCCTTCAGCTGGAATTCTTCCTGCAGGCAGTATTTAGATGGTCTTACTGGAGCTAAAAATCTTAAAAAGTGTATTTGCCATGTCAGCCTACTACAAACTAAAGGACCTGAGAAGAATGGAAACCGGAAAAGAAGTCTAAGTAGGCATTTGTTGAGCAGAGGGAGGGCTAGGAAAGACAGGAAACATGAAAAAATAACAATGTGTTAAGTTGAAGAACAATGTCCATTTTATCAGGATGACCGTGGGTTGTCCCTTTGGAGGGGAACTAGTAAAATAAGCCGGTCTCACATTTGTCCTCTGAAAAGTCTTCTCAGTATTCAACGATGTCCCCAAATGGAATCAGCCTACTGAAATTCACAATGACTACTTCTGACATTTTGCAAAAAGCAAATAAATAAATTATAAGAATGACAAATGAAATGAATAGTTCCAGCTGTGATGCACCAGCAGCACTCCCAGATTTTGTACTGCTTTAAGGATTTATTTTCACTTTATTGCCTGGCAGAGAATTAATTGCGAGGTCCATCTTAGCTCCCTATGCATCCTTAGAATGAAGTCAAAACAGAGTCTCCAACACTCAGTGCCAACTCAGAGAAGAAGGAAAGATTAAGTACAGAGGTGGTCAGCTTATTGACTCTGGAAAGCTTGTCTCTGGTGATCAATGTCGCTCAATCAGGCAAAGGAATCAGCAAAACTAATAGGATAAGAAGTAAGAACATATGAGTATGAGATTGGCAATTGGTTCATGGGATTTGTTCATTCAGCAAATATTTACCATGCTACCCATTTTTCCATGCACGCAGGATACGGGGGAGAACAAGACAAAGGCTCAGCCCTCAGGGTGCTTATGATCTTTTGTAAGGAGATAGACTGTGAACAAATACATGGCTAAAATAATTTCAGAAAGTGAACAGTACTGTGAAGGACATAACACAGGGTAATGGGAGAGAATGTCCAGGAGGTGACATTTGAAATACACCAATCACAAGACTTAGGGGAAAAGCCTTCAGACAAGAGGAAGACCTTGGGCTAGGAGAAAATTTGGCACATTCCTAGAGCAGAAAGATAGTCTGAGAGATTAGAGAGTGGTAGAGAGGGTGTTTGGTAGCTCATGGAGCTAAAGAATTAGACATAAGCCCAGTCCTTTAGGTCCCCTTAAGGCTGTGACTTAGAATCAGAAAAAGTCAGTTTGGAATTCACCTGGGGGACTAAATCAAGGAATGATTAGACTGAATGACTATTGCGATGAGTATTTAGAATATCAATTTCTGTCTGTCTTTTCTACTAATAATAGTACAAGATACTAAGTGCATATCTAACCTTCAGCTTATCTTTGTAGTGAACAAAGAGTACCACCATTGTCAGGCACTATGTCCAGATGCTGTGTATTGTCTCCTTTAAACCCCCAGCAAACTCACAAGGGAGGCATTGTCCACGTTTTACAGAGGAAGAAACTGAGGTCTAAATTGAGTATCCATAAACCGCACCTCTCCCTTGCTGCAGTGTTTCTAAGTGCATGTCATTGATTTAAACATTGTGTTTATGGGCACACCCAAAGGCATGGAAGACTTCATTGAAGAGCCACTTTCTGGGAGGCTGTGTATCCAGCATCACACTTAGGGCGGAGAGCCAGAACAGTCAGAATGATTCTGTGTACCATGTACAATGGGCAGCTGGGTGCTTTTTGTAGAACACCAGTTTCAGGATGAGAATACCAAATCACTACCATAAATTCTGAAATGGAATTGATATTTGACCTTGAAGAGAAACCACCTGTAGGGTTGGTATCTTTATCTGTTAGAGAGACATGCTAACTTCCTCAGCATCTCCCCGGGGTGTCTTGAGGATTGCTTTAATCCCTGTTCTTTATCCTCAGGGGGTTTGAAATGAGAGTAGGACTATATAATAGGTGCTATAAACTTTTTTTTTTTAAGCCACTAAATACAATATATATGAAACAATGTAACCGGCAGTATTATTCATCCCCCCAGCCCCAATGTAATGGGCTTTTTAACCAAGAGTAGGAGATAAGCAAAGCTAGCAGGGCCTAGGTGGAAACCGGCCTGATACGTACGGAAGAGCTGCCTGACAGGTTTGCACCGCCTGCCCATAAACGAAGGAGTGGAGGCTGCCTGATCCAGAATGTCACTGTTCCTCGGCAGAGCCCTGGGTCAGCCCCCTTCTGGAGTCACAGATGGCCGCAACAGGACAGGTGCTGCCAGTCCAGCTCTACTCTATAAGTTCAGCCTGGATGTAAACACCACCATCCTTTCTCTGGGGTTCTGCGCAGGGGATTTCACCCATCCAGGCAGCCCCTCTGTGATCTGTGTGAGAGAGGCCAGCCACGCCCCTGTCTGTGTGAGACAGGCCAGCCACTCCCCTTTGGTCGGCAGACTTGGCCCTCCCCGCCTCTAAAGTTCTTCAATCAGAAGCCAAGGGCGCCAACCACCTGGGTTTCAAATTCCAAACACCTGTCCTGTCCACCCGAGGTGGAAGCCACGTTCTGGAAGGGCAGCGAACCACTGAGCCCTTGACCCTCCAGAGTTTCTGGGCTGCCGGGTCCTCCTTCACTTTTCGAGAACCAGGATGCAGATTCCCTCCATTCGCCCTGTGGGTGTGGCCGTGAGCACCTGAACCCTGGTAGAGACAGCTCTGAGAGCAGCCACCTGACCCCCGCCAGGCGAAGAGGAGCCGGCGAGCGAGCAAGCGTGCGGCACGACCGCGTGCAGCAGCTCCAGGGCTTCCGCTGACTCAAAGGATTTATTTTTACATCTATTTGGAGCTACTTTGGCCTTAACCGCCGCCTTTAGTTTGTCCCAAACTGTAAAAGGTGCCTTGATCATTAGGCTTAGCGTGCCTGAGAGGAAGGGGGACAGGGTGATAGAGAAGGCGCAGCGTCTGTCTGTCGGTCGCCCTCACGCGCGCGCGCACAGCCCGGAGGCAGCCGGGGCTAGGAGGGCGTGCGGCGGGGAGGCTCGCGCGGGTGTATAGGAGCGTGCGCTTGAACGGGGAGGGCCGGGATTCCGGGTGGCTCCCGGCCCCGCCTTCCTCCGGAGCCAGCCAGTCCCTCGGCAGAGCGCTCGGGCTGCACTGATTTGCTCTCGGGAGTGCGCGATTTGCATATGACTTGCCTATTTGTGAATCTGGCTCCCCAACTCCTCGCTTCACTTCACCTGTGCTTCCCTCTTCTGCGCTCTTCGCAGGCGCCCGCCAGCCTCTGGCCACCTCTGCCGCCTGCCAGGCACCTCCTCTCGCGCTCTCCCCGATCTCGCCCACCCACCGCCCTCCTTCCAGTGCCTCGTTGGTTTGGGTGGCTGCTCCGCTCTGGGTTCCTCCTCCTCTCCTCTTTCTCTCCGGTCCTTCTCGTTCTCTTCCTCCGGCTGCTGCTGCTGCTGCTGCTGCCGCTGCCGCTGCCGCTTTACATCTAGTTGGGAAACCCGGGAAGCAGGCGGCTGCTCCATGGCGCTTTTCCAGAAAGCTCAGGGTTAATAGCCTTGGCGCCCTCCACCGATACTCCCAGGAACGCGAGAAGAACTCTTCCACCTGCCTGGCAGTTCTGCATTGCATCTCATGGAAGTGGAAACAGGAAAAAAACAAATGTTCAAACTCCTTGGATGTTGGAATAAACTAACCTGAACCTACTTGGGTCTCCTGCTGCCGCCTCCTCTTCCTTCATTTCCACCTTTCCTCTGTGGCTTCCCGGAGTGTACAGTTAAGTCATCAGACTGGAGGTGCCCAGACACCAGGAGGAAGCCGCGCTGGTCCTCCCTGACATGTGTGACATGCCGCGGCTCCCTGGGAGGTTTGCTAGACCTGGGTGGACTCTGGCATTCTAAATTTCAATCTGGGGAAAGGAGGGCTTTGCTTTTTATCTCTCTCTCTTTTTTAAGTATATCTTTCCCCCTCTCCTTTTAACTGACTCATCGTTGTCTTGAAAGAGCTGATTGCTTCCCTCTTCCCAAAATTCGGGTAACTCTTCTTCCTACTATGATGGGCCCTTGGGCATCATGAACTTCATTATTCCTCCTTGGCTGGAATTTAAACTGCCCATCTGTAGTGGTCCAGTGCGTTGACCATGCACCTGAGAATCCACGCGAGACGGAGCCCTCCTCGCCGGCCGGCCTGGACGCTTGGGATCTGGTCACTCTTCTGGGGATGTATCGTCAGCTCTGTGTGGAGTTCCTCTAATGTAGCTTCCTCCTCCTCCTCCTCCTCTTCCTCACCGGGGTCTCACTCTCAGCTCGAGCACCATTTCCATGGCAGCAAGCACCACTCCGTGCCTATTTCTATTTATCGCTCCCCTGTTTCCCTTCGAGGAGGGCACGGTGGGTCTCTCTGCTCTTTATCCTTTTAATGGGGCATAGTCATTCCTGAACTCACTTGCCTTTTAGGTAGTGTTACGGGGGGCGGGGGGAGAGAATTACAGAATTTCATTTAAAATGATGGAAAGCGTCACCGCCTGCCCACGAAGGAAGCACAGTTCCACTTTCTCTTATAAGGCTAACGTTTCCACCAGCAGCCCTTACTTTTCTCTAAAGCATTCCCCTTCCTTTAGCGCTCTCATTCATGGCTGTGCAAAGACCACACTCTCGCCCTTGCAACCTTCCACGCTCACGCCCCCTGTGAAGGCAGGCAACTTGTTATACAAGTCCCCATGCTGCACTTTGAGAAATCATTCATTCACCTTGCTCTCACCCTTCCTTTCTCTGGGCTTGTTTGGGAGCGAGGCGTGGGGGAAGTAGCAGGCAGCAAGAATTCTTATGTCTTCAGCCTGAAGTTGATTGAACAGCTGTAAGGGAGCCCAGGTAGTAAAGGTCAGGGCAGAGTAGCTCAGTATAAGAAGGCAGAAAATAGGATTAACGACCAGTGGCTGTTATTGTTCGTTTGGGCAGCTTTTTGTCTGCCCATATGTCTGGTGGAAAGAGCAACTATCTCCGAAACTGTCCATCCCGTATTGCTAACTACCAGCGAGGAAGCATTATGTAAGATAAGGTTAAGTTAATTTATAATTTATGCAGGTGTAAATTACAGTAACTTTGATTCCACCATTTATGGCAAATGTTTCGATTGAAGTTAACAGGGATGGATGTGTTTGTTCACATAATACAGGTTTGGTATGTTTTGCTCCAAACACCCCTCCTTTCCTGGAGGGAGAGATCTATGCTCTTAAAAATATTTTCAGCTCTCAGCAGGCTGCGTCTAAAAGGGCAATGTCTGTGATTAAGGCAGGCGCTTGCTGTAGTAAACTCTTCTAAAGGAGGGAGCTTCCTTATTTATTTACTATGCACTGCACTCAGATGGTGAGGAGAGCAGGAAGCACAGAGAGACCAGGAGACCAACCGCAGGAGCCCTCCAGGCAACACGAGTGTGAACCCCACTAGGGGCTGCCTGCCCTGGCTCCTACTTTGAAGACCTTTGCCATCCAGGCCCCCTCCAGAAAGTTGTCTCTTTCCACTGCCTCCTCGCTGTGGGCTTCTGCTGTGTAGTGGGAAGTGGAGGCACATTGAGAAAATGCCAGTGTACACTCTGGAGCTTTTTGGCTCTCTCTTTAAATTTTATTTGATGGAGTTGTCAAGCAGCTCATAGCTTGCTGGGTTGGTGGAGGATGCCGGACAGGAGGGAGTGCTTGATCTTGATCTAGCTGCTGTTTTCTCTGACTCTTGCAGGGTCTGATGCTGGCTCTCTAAAAAAGAAGATAGAGGAAGGAAGGAAAGAAGGAAGGAAGGAAGGGAGGGAGGGAGGGAGGAAGGAAAGGGAAGGGAATAAAGGAAGAAACAAAGAATCTAGGAGAAGACTAGAAGAGTGAACCACAGCCACAACAAAGCAATCTCACTGAGAGGGAGACTGTTAGCTCCTAAGGGGGAGGAGGTTTCGGGGAGTGGGGTGGGGGAGGAAAAGAAGGGAGTGGGAGGTGGGGGAAGCCAGACAGACTATTACTAATAGCCATAATTAAACTTTGAAACGCTCAGCGATAATTAGCTAAATTTTGCTAATTAGTGTAAATGATCAGCCGGGAGACAAAGATTATGTATTAGTTGGAGGTTATAGGCTGGCAAGGTCTTGATGTTTTCTGTTCAGGATGTAAACAGTTAAAAGCAGCTACTATGAAGTGATGGAATTTGCAGAGCAGTTCTTGGCTGGGGTTCCTAGGTGTCTCCTCCTCCCCTCCTCCTCTCCTCTCCCCTCCCTTCTCTTCTCCTTCCCCTTTTTCAGCTCAAGAGGTTGAGGCTTGCACAGGTTAAACATGATTCTTCTCTGTTTATTTCCTCAAGGATCAGTTGCACAGACTTCTCTAAATCTTTCTGACCGGCTCCCAGTTTGATTTCTCATTAACCTACATCTGATAAGATTCAATGTGATGGAAACGAAGAAGAAAGTAAATAAATGGCCAGAGACCCTAGAAAAGCCCCTCAGGTCCACCAGGGCTGTAGAGTGCAGTGGATTTCAGGGTCTGTCGTGGCTGAGATAAGAAAGCTCATGAATTCAACTCTTCAGAATCCTCTTTCAATCCTGAATTCCCAGCCCCTTGATTTGGGGCTTGGACAGTGAATGCATCTATATTAAGTAGGCTCCTTGCATATTTAATTAATGTTTTGGAGCTCAAAATGAAGAGAAGCAGCACTCAACAAAATGCCCCAACTTCTGGCTCCCGTCCCACCTCCAAGCTGTGACCTTTTGCATCTTTAACTAAAGGGACCAGAAGACCCCACAGAGCTTTGCTAATGTGCCTCTCATTCTTGCTTGGAATACACTTGCTTTCCCCTAGTCCAAGACAAAAGCCTAGCTAAACAGCAATTGTTTTAAAAAGTCTTCTGGGTGGAGGTGGTAGGAGGTGGAACATTGTGAGACTGATGGTTGTTATATGATGGTTTGCTGCCAACCTGATTTCAGACTTGAAGGCGGCATTCTCTATTGTCTAGGAAGAAATAAATGCCCTTCCTCTTGGTATAAAACAAAACTAGAGTCCTGAGTCCAAGAACCTTCTTTGGACTTAAGAGAGAATTTTGTTTTCTAACTATACTTGTTCCCCTGCTCATTTGCTGGGAAGCCAAAGTCCTCAGAGCTGCTGGTAAGCAGTTGTTGCCCACACTTCCCTTTCTCCACCGTCTGACCCTACAGTGGGATTCACACTAAGGCAGATGTAAGAAACAGAAATACTCCACAAAGAACTAGCATTTTACTCTCCCTTTTATTAATGCTTGGTTAGATTCCAGTCTCTAGAAAACTGATAGTTATAGATTTGCCTTAAGTCTTGATCCCAGGGCAGATTAGAGGATGCTGAAGTCCTTTGTGAATTGGGGAGATGAAGACCACACCTCTTTGGGGTGCCCCAGGGAGTCTCAGGTTAGGATTGTGCTTTGGGACAGAATTAACCCTCTTCTTAATGTGAATCTAGTAGGCTTTCCCCCAGTGTTCTCTTAGGATCCTCTCGCCTCTCTCTGCTCTCTTCTGTCTGACAATAATTCAGTTAACATTTTTTAAAAGCTCTAACCATGGCTCGGCGCCTATAGCTCAACCGGCTAAGGCGCCAGCCACGTACACCTAAGGTGGTGGGTTCGAATCCCCAGCCCAGACCCGCCAAACAACAATGATGGCTGCAACCAAAAAATAGCCGGGCGTTGTGGCGGGCGCCTGTGGTCCCAGCTACTTGGGAGGCGGAGGCAGGAGACTCGCTTGAGCCCAGGAGTTGGAGGTTGCTGTGAGCTGTAGTGCCACGACACTCTACCCAGGGGGACAACTTGAGGCTCTGTCTCAAAAAAAAAAAAAAAAAAAAAAAAAGCTCTAACCATGTGCCCGGCTGTGTGCTGTTGCTAAGGATATGGAACTAAATAAGACACGTGAAGTTCAGTTAGGGATAATTTCAGAGGTATTGATTACTATGAAAGATAAGAGCTTCTGTATTTTAAACAGGCAGGGAGTGGGTGAGTATCCAAACACCAAGCCAAACTAATTAATATCAAATCTAAATATTCTTTATGAAATGCAGACTTACATTCTTCTGGTATTCAAGATATCTCTCTATCCCTTGAGATTCTTTTTCATTCTCAGCTTTATTTATATGCTTAAATATCATGTTTATCAAGACATTAGATAGTTTAGAGATAGAGGGCACATAAATAGTAAATTTGTTTGTCAACCCTAAGAGAATTTATATATCCTTTCTTTTTCTTTTTTTTTTTTCTCCCTCTCTCATCTTTAAGATCTCTAGCATACATCTTTTGGAGAAATGTTTTAATATTTGTAGTTTAGAAATAGGTTTCTCCAGGGATTATACGTTTTCTATAATACCTATATATTTATTTATTTATTCATTTATTTACTTATTTAGAGATAGTCTCTAGCACTTGGACTAGAGTGCAGTGGTCATCTTAGCTCACTACAAGCTTAAATCCCAGGCATAAGCAATCCTCCTGCTTCAGCCTCCCAAGCAGCTGTAGCAGGACTCCAGGCCTGTGCCAATGTGCCCATCCAATTTTTTCTTTTTACTAGAGATGGAAGCCCCCCCCCCAACCCCCAGCCCTATGCACTATACAGGTAGTCCTCCACAAAATACCAGACCTTCCTGACTCTTTAGACTTTGGAGGAACTCACTGAGGACAGAACTCTCTAAGCTCAATTTTAAAAGGGGACACATCGCGATGTATTTACAGAGAGGTCTCTTGCTCAGAAACCAACCAGGTGTGTTTGTGCAGGGGGGCCACATAAGTCCGAGTCAAGCCATCTTAGTAGAAGTGATGGTAGTGGGCCCCCTGGTGACACAGGAGCCAGGCATCTTTCTCGATTCATTCATTGTCACAGAGACCTGCCGCTCAAGTTCTAGCCACAGGCTCGCTTTCTTTTAATCTGTTGAGCACAGCCTTCTGCTCAGCCAGCTGCTTTTAACCACTTTCTCTCTGCTTTCCTTCTTGAGATTCGGTGAACTGAATAATTCATGGTGTTGGTTGACAGGTAAAATGGTAAGATTTATATGTCTTTGGCCTTGGCAATGAATTAATTAAATTGGTTTCTCCTTTCTCTCCTCTAAATCCATTGTCTTTCCTCTCAACAATTTTCTGGCAATGGGTGGGTCTGGAGATGAACTTGTTTTTGAAAGACCACCATGGGATGGTGATGCTGTCCTGGTGTAAATATCTTCTGCAATTTTAACGTAGATCATTGCATGGGGGAGAGGTGAGGGCTGCTATGTTATAGAGAGATGGGATGAGATCACGTATGGTAGGACCTTGAGGGACCTGAGAGACAAATCTCTGAAGACAAACCTTGAACTCATCCGTGCTTCTCCTTTTAAGTTAGTTTACTAGAACTGCTGTAACAAAACACCACA